TACTCTTGGACCTCAGCTTTTACAACATGCCTGCCATCCACTCCAAAATACTACAAAATATCAGTTCTCTTCACTTTGATTAATGTTGCATTGTCAGAGTGATGAATTCTTCTTGAGTGTAATTTGAAAGATAATATCACTCTAAGGGGAAGAAACGTTGTGGTGAGAATTTAGAATAGTTACAAGATGAAATCTGACCATCACACCATGGCATGAAGGTGCGGGGGAACACAGAAATGCTGGCAGTAAATCGTATTCTTTGGCTCCAGTGAAATACCTGATTTACCATGCTCTTAAAAATGTTTTTATTGAAATTTAAAGATTCTAAACATGGAGTATTGTTGCACAGGCAAATTTATACAATCATAGTCTCTTTATTTTGTTCTTACCTGTTGGCAGTGCTGTACTTAAATCTTTATGTTTAGAAGATATAAAAATTATCTTTGAGTTGTTTCTCAACTTCAAAACAATTTATTAATACATGGTACAATACTATAATACTATGACTAATAGACATATGAATGCATTATAACCACAATCATCTTTATATTATTATTCATTGGCAATTTAGTATCTAAGATGGTGTATCACTGAATGAAAGAAAATGTGATTTGCAACACAAGTTTAAATATGTACCTCTAAATAGAACAAAAATTTTCAGGAATATGTTTTCATCATATATATTATATGTATTATATGATGGGATGGTAATTTGATAATTTATATTTGCATGCTTAACCAAATACCAAAAACCAAACAGGTTAATATAAATTAAAAGCAAAATTAACTATTTTTTCTCAATTAGGTGACAATAACTGAGATGGAGTCAAGCAGAGATCTGTGGTGAACAAGTCACCTTTGTCTCTCAGTAATCCTTACTATCTTCTCAAACTGGATTTTCAATAACATACATATTAATTGAATTTATTGATTTTGCATTCTGACCTTAGTTTGTCCTCCCTTCTCTCTGGCCATTCCCCTTCTTCCATATGCTCTACCCCTACCCCCAATCCATTCCTTCTTTGTTTCTGTTCAGAAGGTTGAAGGCCTTGGATGGATATATTAACAAAACATGGCATATGGAATGGTGATAAGACGTAGCACCTCCCTTTGTATTAAGACTGGACAAGGAAACCCAGTGCAATAAAGAGGGTTCCAATATCCAGCCAAACCTTAAGAACAGCGTCTGATGCCATTTTTAGAAGTCCCACAAGTAGACCAAGACAAACTACTGTCACATACATGGAGGGAGGGCCTAGATTGGTCCCATGCAGGCTTCTGGGTTGGTTTAGACTCTGCAAGGTCCTATGGGCCTAGTTAGTTGTATCTGAGGGGTTTCTTGTGATGTCTTTGTGTTGTCTTCTGACTCAGACAATCCATCCTACCTCTCTTCAGTAGGATACCTCAAGCTCATTCTAATGCTTGGCTGTGGGTCTCTGCATCTGTTTCCATCTGTGATGACAATTGATTGGAATAGTCACAAGTTTGATTACAGAAGATGAACAATTCAGATTACATGTCCATTTTGCAAGGAAACTTAGCTGGGGTCATTCTTGTAGATTAGTGGGAGTTTCCCTTAAATCAGGTTTCTGCCTGACCCAGAAATGTCCCCACTTCCAGTCATCTCTTTCAATATTCTCCCTCTCCATGCATCTCTCAACCCCATCCCTCAAGTTTCCATCCTGACCCATGACCAGTTAACCCAGGATCTCTCTTCCAGTTTTATTTCCCAAGGAAATCCATGTATCCTTTAGTTCTCCTTGTTACCTAGCCTCTCTGAGTTTGTGGACAAGTATGATTATCCTTTACTTTACAGCTAATATTCACTTATGAGCTACAGCTATGTTCACTTATGTTTGTCTCTCTGGGTCTGGGTTACCACACTCAGATTGTGTTTTTTCTAGTTCTATCCATTTGTGATGCAATTTCCTGATGTCATTGTTTTTAACAGCTGAATAATACTCCATTTTGTAAAGGTACATTTTCTTTATCTATTCTTCAGTTGCAGGGCATTTAAGCTGTTTCCAGGTTCTGGCTATTACCAATAAAACTGCTATGAACATAGTTGAGAAAGTATCCTTATGGTACAATTTAATATCCTTTGTGTATATGCCTAAGAGTAGTAGAACAGGGTCTTGAAGTGAGTGATTCTGAATTTCCTGAAAAAAATGCCAGAGTGATTTCCAAAGTGACTGTCCATGTTTTCACTACCATCAGAAATGGATGAGTACTCCCTCTCTAAACATCATCTTTGACATAAGCTGTCATTAGTGTTTTTGATATTAAACATTCTGACAGGTATAAGATGGAACCACAGTGTCATTTTTATTTTCCTTTCCCTCATGACAAAAGGTGTTGAATATTTCCCATGTTTCTATGCCTTTTGAGGTTCTTCTGTTGAGAATTCTCAATTTATTTTTGTACCATCTTTTAAATTAGATTATTTGTTTTTCCAAGTCTAATTTCTTTAGATATTTTCCCATTCTGTAGGCTACTGTTTTGACCTATTGTTTCTCAGTTTCAGGAGGTCCCAGTTCTTAATTGTTGCTCTTTGTCTCTGTGCTATTGGTATTCTATTCAGGAAGTTATCTCCTATGCCAATACATTCAAGGATATTTCCCACTTTCTCTTCTATCAGTTTCAGTGTAACTGAATTTACGTTGATGTCTTTGACTCACTTGAACATGAGATTTGTACAAGGTGTGATAGATTTAGATGTATTTGAATTCTTCTACATATCGACATCCAGTTCAGCCAGCACCATTTGTTGACGACACTTTCTTTTTACCATTCTTAGTCAAAAATCAAGTGTCCATAGGTGTGTTGAGTTTTGTCTGGGTTTTCAGTATTATCCCATTGATACGCTTGTCTATTTTTATGCCAATACTGTGATGGTTTTATTACTAGAGTTGTGCAGTAGAGCTTGAGATCAGGGGTGGTGATGACCCTAGCAGGTATTTTATTATACGGTAGTATTTTAGCAGTCCTAGGTTTTGTTTTTTGTTGTTGTTTTTCCACCTGAAGATGAGTATTGTACTTTCAACATCTATAAAAATTTCAGTTGGGATTCCCATGGTGATTGTATATTTTTTGCCACCATTTGCATGAAATAATATGACATTCTTTTTATTATTTTAATTTTAATTGCTTCACATGTCAATCCCAGTTCACTCTCCCTCCCCTCCTCCTGCACCCCCCACCATCCCCCCCCCAGCCTCCCAACCTATCACTACTTCCTTCCACATAGGGGATATCCAGAGTCTGTCATTTCACTCAGGGCAGGGTCCAGGCAGTCCCCTAAGAGTTCAGGCTGAGAGAGCATCCCTCTTTGTGTTATGGACACACGAAGTCCATTTGTATGCCAGGGTTAAACACTGATCCACTGCCCAGGGCCCCATAGGTTGCCCAAGCCTCCTCACTTACTCTCACACTCAGGGGGTCTGGATCAGTCCCATGCTGGCCTCCCAGCTGTCGGTCTGGGCTCCAAGAGCTCTCCCCCTGTTCAGCTCAGTTGTCTCTGCTGATTTTGCCAGCCCATTCTTTGGAATTTGCTCATCGCTCCTTATGACATTCTATTTGAAGGCAGCATAAGTGGAGAGGCTGTGAGTCTTTAGATTTACACACCTCTCTGCTCTGTTCCCACTGGCTGTGTGACCAAAGGCTAGTTATTTCAACTTTCTAACTTCAATTACTTCATCCCTAAAACAACGACAAAAAGCCTGCCTTTTAGAGTTTCCTTGAGGACTAAATAGCATAATCTTTTAAACATGCTTAGAATTGTTTGCATCCCAAACCCTGCCATCAGACGGCTGCCACTGTTGCTGTGGTTGATATGAGAAGGAACGATGCAAGTTTCCAAAGGAGGAAAGTAGACAGCAGTTCTTCTCAGCTCTGGTGTCCATGAACCATAACTATCGTGACTCAACATGACGCAATACGCGGTAGTGCCACCCAAGTACTGGCAGTCACAGCAGCTCTTTTATTGGACATATGACCGGACCAAAAAAAAAAAGGGGGGGGGGAAATCATGCCTAGTACTAGAATACTACCTAACTACTCAGGGCTAGTGAACCTATGGATCCTGGAGGGGAACCCACAATTATCATGTTACTAAGCCTGAATTTTCCCTAACTACATTTTAAGTATTTGTTTACTACCCTTTACCTACAGGTAAGTGTAGTCTTCACACTGAAATAAGGAAACTATTCTTTGGGAACAGAGAGGGACCATTACAAAAATAGCAACTAATCAAAATGTACAATTATGAATTTCAGTTCCCATGAATACACCTATAAAAACAACTTCTAGCCCTGCGGAATTGGGGCCAGAAAGAACGCAAGAGCAAAGGGTTCCAGAAGTTTGCTGTGGGATTGTTTCTCCTATTAAGGCTAAAATCTGTAACCATAAAGTCTCACAAACATGAATGCCTTAAATAGTTGAACAAAGAAAATAACAATAGACATGTCAAAGTTCATGGGGAACAAGCTTATTAGGCCTCAATCATGTACAAAGAAATCCAGGCAAGTAAGGAAGAAATTACCTTCCCCAGGAAAGAGCACACCAGCTGTTCATCTAATACCAAACTGGGAGTCTGGAAAACACGTATCCCAGTGTCCCTATACAGACTGACCAAGGTGCATTTAGGAAAAGAAATGTATGTGCACATCATTGTATTCAGGTAACAACATTAAATGAAAAAATGACATGTATTTGAACAACTTAATAATAACTCACAACCTTTGCATCAACTGAAAAAATGATGTATATTTGAAAGAGAGTAAGGAGTGAAAGTGAAGATTTGAAAGTAGAAAGGGAGGGGGAAAATAATATATTATGATCTCAAATAATAAAAAACTAAAATGCCAGTTTTTCATTGTAAATATCAATTAAATTTTATTGAATTTAATGAGTCATTCAACACTGAAAACTTGATCTATTGTTTGTAAACTACTTAGGCTCCCATATTAAGCTTCTTGACACCACTTTTCCTTTTTTAATAGGCAAAGTCTCAAATCTTATCCAATGTGTTAGATGTTGCTCATCGATTTATAAAAGAAGCAAATCCACCCAATGAAGGGAATACTTCTGCTGAAACAGCCACTGAAAGTCATCAGAAACCCAAAGCCCCACTTCTTCAGGAGAAGAGCTCTGAGGTAAATTGATGTGGACAAAGTAATATATTTCCTGTCCTACGTATGGTGACTACCATTCATATTCATTACCAGAGATGCACATTTGGGGATGTAACTTTACAATAATGTTAGGTATTGCTTAATTGCTTTAGTAATTGAATATATTCAGACTATAAATATAATCTTAAGATTACGTAACTCCTTTGAAAATTGTTCTTTTAAATGAAAAAATTGAAAATAAGGCTTTCTGAGCATTTTGACCATGTCAGGGGTAATATGAATGTTTGAGAGAAATATTACAATAAAAGCTAGGATATAATGTAACAATTAGAATCTCCACCAAGGTGACAGGCACTTTCATCAGAGTGTAAAGGGATGTGAATGCCAGAGTTTGGCACTTATTCAGATTAAATACTGATCACACAGGGTGCTACATGTACTTTTATCTTCACATTTCTCTCTATGTAAATGGATAGATATGTGTAGTAGATTCCTATCATTTTGAACAATAGATTGAATGTAGTATGTTTATTGAGGAAAAGTGGAAAAAAAACCTCCCCAAAATGGGGTATTTCCAGGGGAAAAAATCCCTTTCAAGTGCATCTTTAACAAGAAACAAACTATACTGTGACTGACAGTATAATCATCTTTCCACTACATAGTACTAATTTTTTCCAGTAGCTCACAAACTGTGGCTTACTTGCCTAGTCACAGTGGTTGGCTACTTGATGACTATGTTTGGGTCGAACTAAAGTCTGTTGAGTTTCAAATTCATGTGCATAAGTGTTCTATTTCAGCATGACCTCTTTCCTAAGCAGGAGCTGTGTGTGAACTTTTCCAGAAAGTGGACACATTTTCATGTGTTACTTTTTCTCATAGACCTGTCAAATATGTACTGTGAACCATCACTGGATGAGTTGAAGTCTTTTTTTTTATATGAGACAGGATTTCTTTGTATTGTTTTGGAGGCTATCGGTCCAGCCTGGCCTCGAACTCACAGAGATCTGCCTGCCTCTGCCTCCCGAGTGCTGGGATTAAAGGCGTGCGCCACCACCGCCCGGCCCAGAGTTTCAGTCTTATAATTGTAATGTGATATATGGGAAAAATTATACTATTTTATCGAGATCATAACCATAACTTTTTTCTTTTCTTTTTTCATACAGTATATTCTTATCTGTTTCCCCACTGTCATTTCCTGCCAGAGCCTCTACACCCACTACCATATGCAATTCCAAGTCTTCATTCTCCTTAGAATATATACAGGAAAATAAAACAAAAAAGTAAATCATAAATAAGACAGCAAACAGACAAACAGAAAAGGAAAACTTTAAGAGTTCTGTGACAATAATGTGTTTTTGCAAATGAAAATCTGATGGAAATGTCTGACAGAAGTTTGTGTAGAGCTACCAATCCACTTGGCACTAGCCCGTGTTAATCAGGAGTTTCCATGACACTCTTTTATCATACAACCCAATTAGATATAATCACTGGAAGTTTCACTTGGTGGCAAAAGAGATCTAGTTGGGTTTTGCTTCCCCATTATTTGGTGTTCCATTTAGACTTCAATGATGTGTGTATATATTTTAAGATGCTTCTAATATAGTAGGTTTCCATATATCTCCTCAATTTATTCTTAGTGTTAACTGGTTCTCCCCTTATTCCCCACCCCCTCCACTTAATTTTCCATTTCTAGTCCATCCCTGTTTCTATTTCCCATATCTTATAATTTCCTTCCCTATCCCCTAGTCCTTTACTCAATGTCTAGCCTCTGTGGTTGTACAGACAGTAGCATGTTTATTGAAGGCTTCAAAGACAGTAACCACATGTAAGAGTTTCACATCATACCTGTCTTTTTTGGGGTATGGGTTACTTAACTCAGAATGATTTTTTTCTAACATTCATTTACCTACAAATTTCCTGATTCTTTTTTTAAACAAATGAGTCACAGTCCATTGCGTTAATATTGATGTACCATATTTTCATTATTCATTCATTTATTGATGGACATCTGCACTGCTTCCAACTTCTTACTGTTATGAACAGTGCAGCAATGAACATGGTTGAACAAGTGTTTCTGTATTAGGATGAAGCATATTTTAGATGTATGTCCAGGGGTGCTAGAGATGGAACTTGAGGTCAATTAGCTACCAGCTTCCTGAGGAAATACCACACTGATTTCCAAAGTGGCTGTACAAGTTTTCACTCTCACTGGTAAAGGATGAGTGTTTGCCTTTGGCAGAATACCCCTCAGCACAAACTGTCATTTGCTTTATTGTCGCCATTCTGGTTTTTGTAAAATGAGATCTCAAAGTAGTTTGCATTCACATTTCCTTGATGACTAAGGGTGTTGAACATTTAAGATTTTATCAGTCGTTTTTGTTTTATCTTCTAAGAGCTCTCTATTAAGCAGAACCCTACTAATATTAGAACCATATTTTTCTCTGTGTAGCTTTTAGAACCTGTCCTGAAACTTACTCTGTAGACCAGGCTGGCCCTAAACTCACAGAGATCTGCTTGCTTCTGACTTCCCAAGTGCTGGGATTAAAGGCATGTGCTACCACTGCCAAACTAGAACCCTATTTCTTAATTGGGTTATCATTTTTCTTGGTGTTCAAATTTTTAGTACTTAATATATTTTAGATATTGACTTCCTATAGTCTGGTGATTGATAAAAACCTTTACTATTCTGCAGCCTTCCTACTTGTCTGAATGGTGTTAGGTGTTTTGTTTGTTTGTTTTGCCATACAGAAAGTTTTCTTTTTCATGAAGTTCCATTTACTAATTCTTGATGTTAGTGTCTGTGTTATTTATTGATTCTTGATCTTAGTACCTGTGCTATTAATTAGTGTCTTGTTCAGAGAGTCTTGTTTTGTTCTAATGAACACAATATTGCCCTTATTTTGAGGCCCTTGATCCATTTGGAGTTAATTTTTCTGAATAGTAATGAATATGGATCTATTTGGATTCTTATACATTCAGCCATCCAGTTTGACCAGCACCATTTGTAAAGATTCTGTTTTTACTTCAGTGCATGTAGCTTCTTCATTAAAAATGTGCCATCTGTTTAATTCTATTAATTAACTTGTCCGTTTTATGCCATTACCATGCTTCTTTTATTACTATAGTTCAGTAGTGCAATTTGAGATCTTGGGTAGTAGTACCTATAGCCTATAGCAGTTCTTTTATTATTCAGAGTTGTTTTGGTATTCTTGTGTGTGTTGCCATATAGAGCTTGAAAAATTCCTTTCAAGTTCCGTGAACAATTGTGTCATTTCACTTTTGGTAGAATGGCCATTTTTACTAAATAACTTATTTATCCACGAAAAGTGGGGACCTTTCTGTCTTCTGATATCTTCTTTAGCGTCTTAAAAATTTTTACTATAGAAGTCTTTCAATAGCTTTTTTAGAATTTCCACACAATCTTTCTTCCTTTCTTTCTTTCTTTCTTTCTTTCTTGAGGTTATAGTTTGAGTTGTTGTTTCTGTGATTTCATTCTTTGTTTGCTTGTGATTTGTATATTGGAAGACAAAGATTTTCATATGACAATTATTTAACCTTGCTACTTTGGTAAAAGTGCTTGTCTGTTATAGATCTTTCTTTTTAAATAAAAGAAATTTGTTTATTTTTACTAGAAACAATCTAGAGTATCCCTCTATGGTGAATGGGCTACCAAAGTCCGTTCATATGCTAGGGATAAATACTGATCCACCATTAGAGGCCCCATAGACTGTCCAGGTCTCGTAACTGACACCCACATTCAGTGGGCCTGGTTTGGCCCTATGCTGGTGTCACAGCTGTCAGTCTGGGGACTATGAGCTCCCTCTTGTTCAGGTCAGCTGTTTCTATGGTTTTCCCCAGCCTAGTCTTGACTCCTTTGCTCATCACTCTTCCCTCTCTACAACTGGATTCCAGTAGTTTGGCTCAGTTCTTAGATTTGGGTCTCTGCTTCTGCTCCCATCAACTACTGGATGAAGGCTCTAACATGGAATATGAGGTAGTCATCAATCTCATTATAGTGGAAGGACATTTAAGATGGCTTCTATACTATTGCTTAGATTGTTAGTTGGCGTCATTCTTGTGGATCTCTGGACATTTTCCTAGTGCCAGATTTCTCTTTAAACATATAAGTGCTCCCTCTTTTAAGGTATCTCTTTTGTGGCTCTCCTCTATCATCCCCTCAACTTAATCTTCCTGCTCCCTCATATCCTCCTTCCCTCTCCTCTTCTCCCCTTTTCTTTCTCCTAACTCCATCTCCCTGCCCTCCCTATGCTCCCAATTTTCTCAGGAGATCCTGTCCCTTTCCCCTTCTCCAGGGGACCATGTATGTCTCTCTTAGGATTCTTGTTGTTTCCCACTATTTCTGGAGGTTTGGATTGTAGGTTGATAATCCTTTACTCTATGTCTAATATCCATATATGTGAGTGAATATATACCATGTTTGTCTTTTTATGACTGGGTTACCTCAATCTAGACAGTTTCTTCTAGTGCCATTCAATTGCCTGTGAATTTCAAGATTCCATTTTTTTTTCACTGAGCAGTACTCCATTGTGTACCACATTTTCTTTATCCATTCTTCAATTGAGGGACATTTAGATTGCTTCCAATTTCAGGCTATTACAAATAATGCTACTTTGAACATAGTTGAAAAGATGTCCTTCTTGTATGGTTATGCAAGGAAAAAGTTACCATAATAGAGGGAGCCATTATAGGTTTTGGGTATATGCCTAAGAGTGGAATTACTGGATCTGTTATAGAATTTTATGGGACATTTTTAGGATATTTTTTATATAATTAATATCATACTACAGTGGGTAGTGGAGGTGTACAGCCTTTGATCCCAGAACTTGAGAGGCAGTAGTAGGCAATCTCTGAGTTTGAGGCCAGCCTGGTCTACATACAGTGTGATTTCCAAGAGAGTTCAAGTACTATATTGAATAAATGTGGAAAGAGTGGATAATCTTTTTTTGGCTGGATTTTAGTGGAAATGCTTCAAGTTTTCCTTTTGGGTTGACATTGGTTTTGACTTGCTGTAAATTACCTTTATTATGCTGAGGTATGTCCTTACTATTCCTCTTCTCTCCAGGCTTACTCTTGTGAAGGGCTGTTGGATTTTTTCAGACCTTTTTTCCTAAATCTAATGTGATGAGGAGGGTATTATTATTTTTCAGTCTTTTAACTTAGTAGACTGCATTGATCAATTTACCTAGGTTGAACCATCCCATTCCTGAATCTCTGCGATGAAGATTACTTGATCATGGTGGATGATTATTTTCTTGGGCTCTTGCATTTAGTTTGCAAAATTTTGTGTATGTGTTCATAAGGGAAATTGGTCTGTGATTCTTTTTCTTTTTCTGTTTTTAATGTGTTTTTTTGGAATTGATTTTTTATTTTTTAAATTTAAATTACAAACAAGGTTGCTTCACATGTCAATCCTAGGTCCTTCTCCCTCTCCCTTCCCTCCCACCAGCCTGCTCATCCCCACCCCTGTCCCCATTCCTTTCACAAGGGAGGGGGGTATCCTCCATGGGGGTATCCATAGTCTGTCATTTTATACAGGTCAGTTCCTAGCCCCCCCACAAGAATCCAGGCTGAGAGAGCATCTCTCATTGTGGGATGGGCACCCAAAGTCCATTTGTATGCCAGGGATGAATACTGATCTACTACCCAAGGCCCCATATATCGTGTAGGTCTCCTTATGGACACCCACATTCAGGGGGTCTGGATCAGTCCTATAATGGATTCCCAGCTATCAGTCTGGGGCTCAAGATCTCCCCCTTGTTCAGGTCAGCTGGATTAAACAAGCTCAGTCTTGACCCCTTTGCTCATCAGTCCTCCCTCTCTGTCACTGGATTTCTTGAGTTCAGCTCAATGTTTAGCTGTGGGAGTCTGCCTCTGCTTGCATCAGTCATTGGTTGAAGGCACTATTTCCAAGACTCTCTGGTAGTGGGATTGTAAACTGGCACTCCCCTGATCCATGTCTAAATTCCATATATGTGAGTACATACCTTGTTTGTCCTTTTGTGACTTAGTTACCTCACTCAGGCTGGTTTCTTCTAGTGTCGTTCATTTGCCTGCAAATTTCAAGATTCCATTGTTTTTTCCTGCTGAATAGTACTCCATTGTGTAAATGTACCACATTTTCTCTATCCACTCTTCAGTCAAGAGGCATTTAAGTTTCTTCCAGGTTCTGGCTATTACAAATAATGCTGCTATGAACATAGTGGAACAGACATCCTTATTGTTTGAATATGCATTTTTGGGTACATGTCTAAGAGTGGAATTGCTGGGTCTTGTGGTAGTTTGATTCCCATTTTCCTGAGGAATCTCCCTACTGATTTCCAGAGTGGCTGTACGAGTTGGCATTCCAGCCAGCAGTGGAGGAGTGTTCCCCTTTCGCCACATCCCCTCCAACATAAACTGTCATTGCTGTTGTTTATTTTAGCCATTGTGACAGGAGTAAGAAGGTATCTCAGAGTTGTTTTGATTTGCATTTCCATGATGGCTAGGGATATTGAGGACTTTCTTAAGTGTCTCTCGGCCATTTTAGACTCCTCTATTGAGAATTCTCTATTTAGTTCTGTAGCCCACTTTTTAATTGGATCCTTTGGTGTTTTGCAGACTTGCTTCTTGAGGTCTTGTAAATTTTAGAGATCAGCCCTCTGTCAGATATGGGGTTAGTGAATATCTTTTTCCATTCTGTGGGCTGTCTTTTTGTCTTGTTGACTGTGTCCTTTGCCTTACAGAAGCTTCTCAGTTTCAGGAGGTCCCATGTATTAATTGTCGACCTCAGTGTGGGTACTATTGTTGTTATGTTCAGAAAGCAGTCTCCTGTACCAAATCGTCCAAGGGTACCTACCACTTTCTCTTCTAAGGGATTCATCATGGCTGGATTTATGTTGAGATCTTTGATCCATTTGGACTTAAGTTTTGTGCACAGCAATAGACATGGGTCTATCTGCAGTCATCTACATGTCAATATCCAGTTATGCCATCCCCATTTGTTGAATGTGCTTTCTTTTTCCATTGTATATTTTTAGCTTCTTTGCTGAAGATCAGATGTTCATATATGTATGGGTTATCATCAGGATGTTCAATTCAATTCCATTGGTCTACCTGTCTTTTTTGTGCTATTACCAAGGTGTTTTCAGGACTATAGCTCTATAATAGAGCTTGAAATCAGGGATGGTGATGCCTCCAGATATTGCTTTGTTGATTAAGGTTGTTTTGGTTATCGTTGTTCATTTGTTTTTCCACATAAGGTTGAGTATTGTTCTTTCAAGGTCTGTGAAGAATTGTGCTGGGACTCTAATGGGGATCGCACTGAATTTGTAGATTGTTTTTGGCTGGATTGCCATTTTTACTATATAGATTCTACCTATCCAAGAGCATGAGAGATTTTTTTCCATTTGTCTTTCAAGTAGGCTTCATTCCAGGGATACAGGAATGGTTCAACATGCAAAAATCCATCAATTTAATCCACCATATAAACAAGCTGAGAAACAAAAATCACATGATCATCTCACTAGATGCTGAAAAAGCCTTTGACAAAGTCCAACACCACTTCATGATAAAGGCCTTGGAGAGATCCGGGATAACAGTAACATACCTAAACATAATAAAAGCTATATACAGCAAACCAAAAGCCAACATCAAACTAAATGGACAGAAACTTGAGGTGATTCCTCTAAGATCATTAACAAGATAAGGCTGTCCACTCTCTCCATACCTCTTCAATATTGTTCTTGAATTTCTAGCTAGAGCAATAAGACAAAAAAAGAGGTCAGGGGGGCACAAATTGGAAAGAAAGAAGTCAAACTTTCACTATTTACAGATGATATGATAGTTTACATGAGTAACCCAAAATACTCTACCAGGGAACTCCTACAGCTAATAAATACTTTCAGCAAAGTGGCAGGATACAAGATGAACTCAAGAAAATCAGTAACCCTAATATATACAGCTGATAAAATGACTAAGAAAGTAATCAGAGAAACATCACCCTTCATAATTGCCACAAACAATACAAACTACCTCGGGGTAACACTAACCAAACAAGTGAAAGGCCTGTATTGCAAGAACTTTGAGTCTGTGATTTTTTTTCTTTGTTGGGTGATTTAAGTATCAGAGAAGTTGTGGTCTCATCAGAGTTAGACAGTTTTCACTCTGTTTATATATTGTGAAATAATTTGAGTAGTATTAGCATTAATTGCTCTTTCAAAGTCAGGTAGAATTCTGTTCTGAATCTGTTTTGCCCTGGGCTTCTAATGGTTGGGAAACTTTTAAGTACTTCATATGTTTCACTTGGGGATTTGGTCCTGGTTAAGTCACTTATTTCATCTTTATTTGACTTTGTGAAGTTGTATATATCAAGAAAATTATCTGTTTCTTTTATATTGTCCAAGTTGGTGAAGTGGAGGTTTTCAAAGTGTGTCCTTACCTCTGGGTTTCCTTAGAGATCTCTGTTGTTATATCTCCCTTTTCATCACTAATTTTATTAATTTTGCTAAGAGTTCATCAATGTTATTTGTTTTCTCAAAGAAACCCCAGCACTTTGGGTAGCATTGCTTCCTACACATTGGTGTACTTGATTGATCTTTCTACTTACTTGTTAGGGTGACCTACTATGTTTTAACTTTGTACTATATTTTGTTTAATAAAAAGACAAAACAATATGCCCACCTGATTTATTCTCACAGGGTGTGTAGAATAAATTGCATGAGAAATAAACTATAGGAGAGAAAAACAAATAAAAAAGAGGGTGCAGAGGAGTTAGGCATCTTCACTCTCCCCTGGAGAGAACTCTCCAGGAAGGTGACCTTTGAGAAACTGAACGGCATGAGGAAAATGTCTGGGTAAACTACGGGGAGGCACCACGATTATACAGGTTCCTGAAGAAAAAATTTACCTGATGTTTCTCACTTCTTCAAGATTGTAAGTATAGGTGGAATAGGTGAATGATAGAAAAACGAGGAGATGACTGTATAGGACAAGAGAGGAGAAAGTACTTCGGGCACTTTTCAAGTTCCGGGAGAAACTTTGAATTCCAGAGTATCAAAAGGCTTTAAACACACTGGGAACATGAGATTAATATTAGAACACACAAAACCACACAACCATATATCTATACTCACATTACTGTTATAATTGCATGCCTGTAATTATAATTCCATAACTCAGGAGGAATATTCCAAATTTGAGACCAGTCTTGGCTACATAAAGAACTAGACACAAAAGCTGCTCTAATGTGGGAAGGTTGTAATTAGAAGAGGACTGGGAAACGAGAAAGCATGGATAATCTGTACATAACTGGAACAGTTATAAAGAGGGAAGAGCAGAGATAATATGGAGAAAGTTATCAGTTTTGTATGCTCTAACATTATTAATTTCTGAGAAGGCCATTCATAACTACCAATAGGGTTTTAAAAAACATTAAAGCCTTTAGATGAATTAAATACATCTGATTTTCATGTCTTTCTTTTAAGATTCAGGACCTTTAATAAGCACTCTTTGCTACATTTCTAACTGGTAGGTAGAAACGACAGCCCCAGAAGGAGAAGAAGGTACAACTCCAAGGTGCAAGCCCTTGTGTGAAATGCCTTTTGATGAAGAAGCATCTGCCCAGTCCTTCCAGGAAGCCTTAATTCAATGGCGAGCTGGACACCAGGAGGAAAACACACAGCAGAACTCACATGGGACAAAGCCAGGTTTGGTCATTGTTCAAATATTCATATAACAAAATAAAGGAATCTCATTTCTTTCCACTCCTGGCAACACAAAGGCAATGCTTAAAAACAATAAAGAGCAATTTGCTACAGCTTCTCAAGGGAGATTTGGGTACACACTAGGCAGTCAGTGGTGAGTTGTTTAATATTTATAAAGCATGAATTGATCATGGGGATGTTTACCTTGGATTTCTATGTAAATTCAGATCATGAGCTGAATGGAGCACCATAGTCTTAGCTTTCCTTTTCCTGCAAGGAAAACAGTCATTAGAAAACAATTCCATTTTATATCTTCTGCTGCAATATATCGGGTGAGGGAGTGTTTGGGTCATGGAATCAAATGATTCTCTATATGCACTAGATCAGTAACTTTTCTTTTCAGTGTAACCAAATCTCTGACAAAGCAACCTAAAAGAGGAACAATTTATTTTGGCTCACAGTTGGAGATGATTTAGCTTATCAAGACAGAGAAAGACAGCAGCAGGTGGCTTCAAGGCCACAGAAGAAGGTGGTTGGACTCCTTATTTCTTCCACCACTGTAGAACAGGCAACAGAGACAAAGCAGGAAGCAGAATGCTGCTGCCTGTCTCATAGAACGCCTCCAGGAGATTCACTTCTTCCAGTGAGGTCTCAGCCTCCCCCAAATTTCACAGCCTCCAAACCAGCATTGGAGTTGAAAGGGTGGGAGGGCAAATGTCTGCATGGAAACCATAAACCATATCTTGCAGGCTGAATACACGACCATGGTGAACTCACAGAAAGAACAGATTTTTTTTGTTTTGCTTGTAGTATTTTTTCTTTCCTTTAAAATTTTCTTTTCAGAGTATTTTAATTTCATTTTTTGGTTCACATTTAAAATAATGGATTTATTTAGAACATATTCATACAAACTGTACCGGCTACATTTTGTGTCAACTTGACACAAACTAGAATTATTTGAGAGAAATGAGCCTCACATGAACAAATGCCTACATTACATTGGCATGTAAGGCAAGGGACTTTTCCAAATTAGTTATTGATGTAGGAAGGCCAGCCCATTGTGAGGGGGGCCATCTATAAGCTGCTTCTATAAGACAGAAGGCTAAGATAGCCAGAAGGAGCAAACCACTAAGCAGACTTATTCATGGTCTGAACATCAGTTCCTGCCTTCAGGTTCCTGCCCTGTTTGAGTTCATGTCCTGACTTCCTTCAGTGATGAACATTACAGTGTAAGTGCAATAAACTCTTTCATCTCCAACTTGCTTCATCACAGCAATGGGAACCCTAAGACAATCTCTGATTAGTGGAATGTAACCAGGATATGCAATGAAGAAAAGGCAATGCCAAGAACTTCAGACACATATTTAAACTCCAACTTTGAGTTTATAATGGCTTATTGCACACGAAGTGAAAGATGCAGCCTTGTTTCGATTCTTTTTCATTTGGGGTACATTGGAAATATTTACTCATTTCCTTAGACATAAATATTGAAAGAAGGTTATATTGCAAGCCTTAGAGGTTATATAAAAGTTCATACATTAGTACATAAGGAGATGTTCCTAGAATTTCTTCTCCCTTTCCCAAGTTTTTGTATGCTAAGATGAAATGCCTGAAGCAGCTAAGTTTTTGAGGATTATGAACAATTTTGTCATTATGCTTATTCAGCACAAAGGATAATGTTCAGAGGATGACTAAACACCATAAAGTTTATCATACTAACCACAGTTGCTTTTTAGATTCTATCTCTACTGGAAAAGGCACCACAGTATTTGTAACTAGAGAAACTCTTGACCTACTATAGAACTTGATAATCATTTACTGTAAACAAGTTCAGCTAGTCAACCTTCTGGATAGGGCATGAAAAAGGTCAAAGACAAAACATGAATGAATGAGAATACTGTTTTGCAATAAAACCTTGTACTTATGAACATAGAAATTCAGTCATAGGAAAACAATAGGTCATGTTTGGACTACAAGCTCTAGTGTAGTGATTCTTGACTTACAAAATACATTTTTTTCTACGTCTGTCACTATATAGAATCAGAAATAGTGGTGTAATTCATGAGGCAAGCTTAGGATCTTCCTTCATTGTCTAATTCAAGATTTACATTATCTCTCTTAGCCTTTGCAGAATTGTGTAGTCTGCAGCACCTTTACTTTCTTGAATCTACCCATAGACATTGATTGGCCATTAGATGGTTGTCACGAGACTAACTTGGTGAGCAAGGAACAATGGTCTCACAGTAAGGATGTTTATACTGAACACTGTCTAACATGAAAGCTACAGTATTTTGTCTTAATCAGAAAATTCACATTTCAGATACAGATTTGCTTACTGTATCTGTTTATGTGGCATGTAAGCCATACTTATCACCATAGTACCTTCAGGAACTGCCTCATGTCAAGGCATTAAATTCATTGTGAGGAAAACACACCTACATCCATGGAATTCAATGTCCTTACCATGCCTGAAAATGTGTATGGTAGGAATTTACCTATTTTCAATGTTTACTCATCTATTATTATGTGAATGTGCCTCTATTTCTCAATTTAAATGTTGATTATTGTTTAGGGCATTTCTCATTTTGGCTGTGCCATACAATACTTATATACATTTTATTGTACGGGTCTTGAAGTCTAACCTGAACACATGCACAAGGATATGAATAGTTGAAAAGAGAACAACTGTCTTATCAGTAATTTGTGTCATTCACTAAACTAGACAAGCACGGATTAGCCAGAAAAAGTACTTACAACAATTTGTTTTCCATCCTAAGTATAGGAGAGATTTTGTTGTTCCCCTTATGACCATCATGTAATATTTTCAGATATTTATAATTTTGCTCCAATCATAGAGATAAGTACTATGCTTATGTATAGCTTTTATTACAAATTGCATTAGGAACCCTTGTGTTTAATCAGTGTGCTTTAAACTTTCAGGTTCACCAACTGTTCCAGTCACTGACTTCTACCTTGATTCATTTTAGTCATGCTCAGATGCCTTTAGGCACTTTCCTGGCCCGGGGCTTTGATGTGAGCTCAGGCCCTTTTCTCTCTGACCTCCTTTGCACTGTTCCCACTGACTTATTTGGTCTCCTCTACTCTGTTCTCTTGAGTGTTCCTCAAATGCTTCAGGCATCCATTTGCTTTAGGATTTTTTGCACTGTTTATTAAGGAAAATTCCCGTGATCTGTGTTAGATGAGCATTAGATAAATTCCTAGAAAAGAAGGCTACTGAGCCAGAAACAAAGTAAGCAAAGCCCAGGTGAACTTAAGAGATTTTTCTTTGAGTAAGCCACCCCTTGTGCACCGGCATGCCCCTCAATTGACTAGCATGCATGATTTTAAATAATGTATATGGCTGAATAGTTACTTAGCTGAAGATTCTTCTCCTAGAAAATATGTGTTTGTCATTAGTCACAGTTTTCAAAGATACTGGCAAGCACACGAAGCCAAGTTGGATCTCATCTTTATTTCCTGAGATTGTGCCACTGGTGGATGGAGAAAAGTGAACCACAGGCCACTTGTTTCAACCCCCTACTCCTTACCACTTTTTCCAGATATGGGAGTTATTTCTCAAGCATATTGGTTCTTGTTTCTGAAAAGAACCAACTTAAGTGTTCCTTTCCTTCTTCCTCGCTTCAGATTTTCTGCCTCAATTCTATTACTTTCAGTAAGGTACATGCACAAATATGTACACACACACCTCCTTCATCTCCCATCGTATCTTCATATTCATAATTTACATTCTTAATTCTTTTTCTTCTTTCATTTACTAGATTCTAATTGTTGCTCTCAGAATTTCTTCTCTCTTTTCCTTAATACTACACTACTCTCGGGAGGATAGCAATTGAGTAACTCCATTCTTTTGACTTATTTAACTCCTGTTCGTGGATGCTAACCTCTGCACTCTGAAATTAGGATCAGCTTAGCCTTAGAATACCTAAAAATGTTGTTTTTAATCTTTACCGCTTGCTTTTCATATTTTTTCCACAGGATTTTCTTCTGGGAGATATTGCAAGCTATAGAGTGGGACAGTATCTGGAGAGTAGAGAAGCTACCAGTCCCAGAATTATCGGCTTTCTTTCCTAAGAGCTTCGTCACTTTCAAATAGTTCTGAGTAATTTTGTAGTGGTTCAGAAATAAGAGCATTTGGGTGTATGTGACTTCAAAGGCAAACGTTTCTGGGGATTGAAGATCCCTTCATTCTGAATAAGATATAATTCACTATGAATTATTAATTTTTTATTACCCTTTATGTGTAAATATTATTAGAAGTGGTTGTAATATACACCTTTGTTTCTACATGTATGGGCTGTGCATGGAATGTACAGCAACTGTATTTACCTTTATCCTTTAAGAGAATGATGCTTCTGAAACCTTTTGATTCATAAGATGTTTTTTGTTTCAAGAGATTTTGAGGACATTGTCCACAGTCTCATTTATCAAAATCAATGCTTTAGAAAGCCTTTAGGATTATTTATATTTTAGACTTGATATTACATTAATACCGTAGGCCATAATATAATAATGGCAAATATAAGGATAGGTACAAATGAACTGATTGCCATACAAAATTGATTCACTATCTAAGAAAAGACATGATAAATTATAGGCATGGCTACATTAATTATGTGCAGTGTTCATTTTTATAGACTCGGTGGAAGAATGTGAAGTACAAACTAATTTGAAAATTTGGTCTGAACCAATTAATATTGAGTTTACAGAAGATAGTCTATCATACATGGAAAAATTATGGCTTAAAAAATACAGAAGGTATGTTTTAGAATTTTAATATTGCTATTTGTTTGTAAGTAGAAATTATTTGTGTTTCTTGTGGGAAATCACTTTTGGAAGTAATTTGTTTATATTTGTTTATGCTTATATTAAATTTAAGTATGTATTTATATTTAATCTAGGAATCTTTGACTTTATTTGCAACAAATTTAAATACTAATATTTATATACAAATACATATATGCTATATTTTAACCTTGATAAATGTAAATAGATATGTATCTGGAGGAAGGCAGCAATAAAAGCATGGAATTTAAGAATAATAGCGGAATCACTCAATAAATAAAAATTGACTTTAAAAAGACTTTGCTGGCCAGGCAGTAGTGGTGCAATCCTTTAATCCCAGCACTTGTGAGGAATTGGCAGGCAGAGCTGTAGAGTGTAGTTTTTTCCTTGCCAGTCACCTGGGCCCTGCCGCATAGTCTGAACCCCCAAATAACTCACAGGACACTATATTAATTATAAAGCGGTTGGCTTTTTGCTTGTTTTTTTACTGGCTCTTTCTGACTTAAGTATTTAACCCATAATTGTTAATCTATGTATTTCTCTTACTGGAGAAAGAGTCCGGACGTCTTACTCCTCTGAAGGCTACATGATATCTCTTTCTGCCTCTCTTTTCCAGAATACTCCTTGACTCCTAGTCCCACCTGTCTTACTTCCCTAATAGCCAACAGTGCTTTATTCAGCATTTGGACTTAATGATTTTGGCATGGCGATAGACATGGATCTATCCGCATTCTTCTACATGCCAGCATCGTTATGCCAGCACCATTTGTTGAAGATGCTTTCTTTTTTCCATTGTATATTTTAGTTTTGTTGAAAATCAGATGTTCATACACGTATGGTTAATATCAGAGTGTTCAATTCGATTCCATTGGTATACCTTCTATTTTTGTGCCAATACCAAACTGTTTTCAGGACTATAGCTCTATAATAGAGCTTGAGGTCAAGGATTGTGATGCTTCCAGATGTTGCTTTGTTGAGTAAGGTTGTTTTGGCTATCCTGGGTCTTTTGTTTTTCCATAAAAATTTGATTATTGTTCTTTTAAGGTCTGTGAAGAACTGTGCTGGTATTTTTAAAGGGGATTGCACTGAGTCTGTAGATTGCTTTTGGCAGGATTGCCATTTTTACTACATTGATCCTACCTATCCAAGAGTATGGGAGATCTTTCCATTTTCTGAGGGCTTCTTTAATTTCTTTCTTTAAAGACTCAAATTTCTTGGGATACAGGTCTTTCACTTGTTTGGTTAGCATTACCCCAAGGAATTTTATGTTGTTTGTGGCAACTGTAAAAGATGATATTTCTCTGATTTCTTTTTCAGCCCTTTTATCATCTGTATATAGTAGAGCTACTGATTTCTTGAGTTGATCTTTTAGCCTGCCACTTTGCTGAAGATGTTAATCAGCTGTGAGGGTTCCCTGGTAGAGTTCTTTGGGTCATTTATGTCAACTATCATATCATCTGCAAATAGTGAAAGTTTGACCTCTTCCTTTCCAATTTGTAACCCCTTGATCTTCTTTTGTTGTCATATGGCTCTAGCTGGAACTTAAAGTACAATACTGAAAAGGTATTGAGAGGGTGGACAGCCTTGTGTTGTTCCTGTTAGAGGAATTGCATTGAGTTTCTGTCCATTTAGTTTGATGCTCACTGTTGGTTTGCTGTATATAGCTTTTATTATGTTTAGGTATGTTCCTGTTATCCCATATTTCTCCAAGACCTTTAACATGAAGGGATGTTGTATTTTGTTAAAGGCTTTTTCTGCATCTAGTGAGATGCTCATGTGATATTTGTTTTTCAGCTTGTTTATATGGTGGATTACACTGATGGATTTTCATATGTTGTAACATCCCTGCATCCCTGGGATGAAACCCTGGGTGAATGATTGTTTTGATTTGTTCTTGGATCCAATTTTCTAGTATTTTATTGAGGATTGTTGCATCAATGTTCATGAGGGATATTGGTCTGAAGTTCTCTTTTTTGTGTCTTTTTGTGGCTTGGGAGTCAAGGTTATTGAAGCCTCGTAGAAAGAGTTTGGCAAAGACCCTTCTGCTTCTATTGCATGGAATACTTTGAGAAGAATTGGTATAAGCTCCTCTTTGAATTTCTGGTAGAATTCAGCACTGAGGCCATCTGGACCTCAGCTTTTTTTTGGTTGGGAGACTTTGATGACTACTTCTATTTTCATAGGGCTTACAGGTCTATTTAAATTGCTTATCTGTTCTATATTTTATTTTGCCAAGTAATAGCTATCTAGAAATTTGTCCATTTCTTTAAATTTTTGAATTTTGTGGACTACAGGTTTCAAAGTATGACCTGATGATTCTCTGAATTTCCTCAGAGTCTGTTGTTATGTCCCTGTTTTCATTTCTGATTTTGTTAATTTGCATGTTCACTATCTGTTGTTTGGTAAGTTTGCACAAAGATTTGTCTATCTTGTTGATTTTCTCAAAGAACCAACTCTTTGTTTCATTGATTCTTTGTATTGTTTTTCTAGTTTCTACTTTATTGATCTCAGCCCTCAGTTTGATTATTTCCTTTGTCTTCTCCTCCTGGGGGAGTTTGCGTCTTTTTGTTTTAGAGCTTTCAGCTGTGCTGTTAATTCTCTAGTATAACTATTCTCAGGTTTCTTCATGTGGGCACTTAGTGCTATTAACTTCCCCCATAGCACTCCTTTCAAAGTGTCCCATAGGTTTGGGTATGTTGTGTCTTCATTCTCATTGAATTCTAGGAAGTCTTTAATTTCTTTTTTTCATTTCTTCTTTTACGCAGGAATGGTGCAATTGTCCATTATTCAATTTCCATGTTTGTAGGGTTTCTGCAATTTGTGTTGTTGAATTCTAATTTTAACGCTTGGTGGTCTGATAAGGTGCATGGAATTATTCCAATTTTTTGTAGCTGTTGAGGTTTGATATGTTGCCAAGTATGTGGTCGATTTTTGTGAAGGTTCCATGTGGTGGTGAGAAGACAGTATATTCTTTTTTATGTGGATGAAATGCTCTACAGATGTCTGTTATTCCCAGTTGAGTCAATACTTCTATTTTTCCCTTTGCTTCTTTGTTGAGTTTCTGCCTGGTATTCCTGTCTAGTGGTGTGTTGAAGTCTCCCAGTGTAAGTGTGTGGGGATTTAAATGTGATTTGAGTTTTAGCAATGTTTCTTTTACGAACGTGGATATCTTCGTATTTGGTGCATAGATGTTCAGAATTGAAACTTCATATTGGTGGATTTCTCTTGTGATGAGTATGTAATGACCTCCTTTATCTTTTTTGATTGCTTTAATTTTAAAGTCTAATTTGTTAGATATTAGGATTGCTACCCCCGCTTGTTTCTTAGGTCCATTTTATTGGAAAATCTTTTCCCAACCTTTAACTCTGAGGTAATGTCTGTCTTTGAGGGTGAGGTGTGTTTCTTGTATGCAGCAGAAGGATGGGTTCTGTCTTCAAATCAATTCTGTTAGCCTGTGTCTTTTTATGGATGAGTTAAGGCCATTAATATTAAGGGATATTAGTGACCACTGATTGCTCATTTTTCTTTGATTTTGAATGGTTGTTGTTCATGGAATTATGTGTGGAATTCCACCCCTTTTTTCTTTTGGTTGTTGATAAAGTAGGATTCTCTAATGCCTATGTTTTTCTGGTTGTAGTTAACTTCCTTGTTTTGGAGTTTTCCTTCCAGAACTTTCTGTAAGGTTGGGTTAGTGGATATGTATTGCTTGAAGCTAGTTTTGTCATGGAATATCTTGCTTTCTACATCTATAGTAACTGATAGCTTTGCCAGGTATAGTAGTCTGTGCTGACATCCATGGTCTCATAGTGTTGGTAGAATATCTATCCATGACCTTGTGGCTTTCATAGTTTCCATGGAGAAGTCAGGTGTAATTCTGATAGCTTTGCCTTTATATGTTATTTGGCATTTTTCTTTAGTTGATTTTAATGTTCTTTCTTTATCCTGTATAGTTGGGGTCTTGATTATTGTGTGGCGAGGGGACTTTTATTGTGGTCCACTCTGTTTGGTGTTGTGTAAGCTTCTTGTACCTTCATTGGCATGCCTTTCTTTAGGTTGGGAAAGTTTTCTTCAATAATTTTGTTGAATATGTATCCTGCCCCTTTGATGTGGTTTTCTTCACCTTCTTCTATACCTGTTATTTTAGGTTTGGTCTTTTCATGGTGTCCCATATTTCTGGATGTTTTATGTTAGGGATTTGTTGGGCTTTAGATTTTCTTTGTTTGATTAATCAATTTCTCCTAGTGTATCTTCAATACCTGAGATTCTCTCTTCCATTTCTTGTATTCTGTTGGTAATGACTGTATCTGTAGTACCTAACTGTTTGCCCAGTTTTTCTATTTCCAGCTTTCCTTCAGATTTTGGTTTTTTTATTGTCTCTATTTCAGTTTTCAACCCTTGCACTGTTTGAATTGTTTCTTGCAATTTTCGGTTTATCTTTTCATCCATTTGTTGCATTTTATGAATTTTTTGATTTGTTTATTCTTCCATTTCTTGCATTTTTTGGTTTGTTTTTTTCTTCCATTTCTTTGAGGGTTATTCCTATATCCTCTTTTAGGGCCTCTATCATTTTCATGAAGTTGTTTTTAAGGTCATTCTTTTCTGCTTCATTTGCATTGGAATGTTGAAGTCTTGCTGGTGTGGATTCTCTAGAATCTGGCAGTGTCATGTTTGTTTTTCTGTTGCTGAGTGTGTTTTTGTATTGTCTCTTTTCCATGTCTTCTTCTAGTTGGTGGTGAAAGAGCCCCTTACTGGTCTGGTTGTTAGGGGACCAGAGTTCCCTTTTGTTGGGTGCAAGCAAGTACAATACTCTGATAGTTCTTCTCTTCCTGGTCCTAGTTCCCTGGACCCGTGGGTGGTGAAGAAGCCCAAGAAACTGGGGTGCATAATCTCCCACCTCGTCCCCTGGTCCCTTTGTTGGAAGAAAAGACCTGGGATCCAGGGTGCATGGCTCCTGCCTGGATTGGAGGCTCTCTGTCAGTCCCAAGGCACTGGTCCCCTGGACCTGCTGGTCCCCTGGTCTGGTCCAGCTTGTCCTGTGGGACCTGCTGGTCCCACTGGTCCCCTGGACTTGCTGGTCCTGCTGGTCCCCTGGTCCGCACCCGCTGGTTCCCTGGTCTCACTGGGAGATGAGAAGCTCTTTGGCAGTCCCCAGGCAATCCCCAGGCACTGGATTGCAGGCCCGGATGCAGGGCCTCCTTTACCTGCTCCTGCTGGTCCCGCTGGACCTGATGGTTCTGCTGGTCCCCTGCACCTGCTGATCCCCTGGTCTCATTGGTGGAAGAGAAGACCTGGGATCTGGGGTGCTTGGCTCCTGCTGGGATGGGAGGCTCTGTGGTAGTCCTTTTGCCAGTATTTTTTTTTTTTTTTGGTTTTTTGAGACAAGGTTTCTCTGTATTGTTTTGGAGGCTGTCCTGGAACTCACTCTGTAGACCAGGCTGGCCTCGAACTCACAGAGATCCACCTGCCTCTGCCTCCCGAGTGCTGTGATTAAAAGCGTGTGCCACCAACGCCCGGCCCTTTTGCCAGTATTTTATTGAGTGTGTTTGCATAAATTTTCATGAGGAATATTGGTCTGTAGTTCTCTTTCTTACTTATGTCTTTGTGGAGTTCAGGTACCAAGGTAATTGTAATCTCATAAAAAGAGTTTGCAATGTCCCTTCTGCTTTTATTGTGTGGAACAGTTTGAGTAGTACTGGTATTATCTCTTCATTGATTTTCTGGTAAAACTGAAACCATCTGGCCCTGGACTTTTTTTGGTTGGGAGAATTTGATGACTGCTTCTATTTCATTAGAAGTTATAAGTCTGTTTAAATTGCTGACCCGTTCTTGTTTCAATTTTGGTAACTGATAGCTATCTAGAAAATTGTCCGTTTTCTTTAAATTTTTAATTATGTTGAGTACAGTTTTTCAAAGTATGACCTGAAGATTCTCTGGATTTCCTCATTGCCTGTTGCTATGTTCCACGTTTCATTCCTGATTTTGTTAATTTGCATAATCTCTTTCTGCCTTTTTGTTAGTTTAGATAGAGGTTTTTCTATCTTGTAGATTTTCTTGAAGAACCAACTCATTATTTCATTGATTGTTTATAATGTTTTCCTGGTTTCTACTTTATTGAATTCACTCTTCAATTTGATTACTTCCTGCTGCCTATTCCTCTGGGGTGAGTTTGCTTCTTTGTGTTCTAGAGCTTTCAGGTGTGCTGTTAATTCTCTAGTGTGACTATTCTCCAGTTTCTTCATGCGGTCATTTAGTGTTATGAACTGCTTTCAAAGTGTCCCACAATTTTGGGTATGTTGTGTCTTCATCTTCATTAAATTCCAGGAAGTCTTTAATTTCTTGTTTTATTTCTTTCTTGACCCAGGAATGGTGCAGTTGTGCATTGTTAATTTCCATGTGTTTGTTGGATCTGAAATTTGTGTTGTTGTTGAATTCTAAATTTAATGCATAGTTATTCCATTTTTTTCTATCTGTGGAGGTTTGCCCTGTTGCCAAATATGTGCACGATTTTATGGAAGGTTCCATGTGGAGCTTGATTCTTCAAATTCTTTCTTCAAAGACTTGAAATTCTTGTCATGCATGCCTTTCACTGGCTTTGTTAGAATTGCCTTAATATAATTTGCATTATTTGTGGCAATATGAATGGTGTTGTTTCCAGGATTTCTTCCTCGGTTCATTTATCATTCATATCTTATAGGGCTGCTGATTTTTTTTTGAGTTAATTTTGTATTCCGCCACTTCATTAAAATGTTTATCAGCTGTAGGAGTTCCCTGCAGAATTTTTTGGTTGCTTAAGAATACTATTATACAATCTGAAAATATAAATCACTTAGCTAAACTCTAGTTGTGAGTCTCTCAAAGAAATTATAAAACAATTCTCAGTCATACAAAATATTTTGTACCTGTGCAATTTGTACAATAGATGAGAAAATACTGCTGGTGTATTTATAAGTAGGAAATGAGCACTGTAAAATGAGAACTCAGGTAGTAATGTGTGCTTGAGAAGGCAAGTTGCTCAGATTGCTCTTCTTGCTGTGTTCTCTGCCTAAGTGGCTTAAAAAGTTCTCCACTTTCTCCCTTCAATTTCATCTTTTAACATGCCCATCATAATAGATACAATTTAATCTAATGACTGATAACACTACTGACTGTGCCAAAAGTAGTTAGGATAAAAATGGACAAATCTTAACACTTACCGCTAACAATACCGGTAAGACAGCCTCTGTTTTACATGGCAAACATGTGAGCTTGCATGATTTATGAGTCTGGTAAAGTTATTTATATTTGACTCAAAATGAGCTCTCTCCTCACCCTATCTCTCATAAGTCTCTGAACATCCTCCAGAATTAAACACACACTTGAACTCTTAAATTCCCAGTCTTCACATGTTCCACATGAAGCAGGCTGAATCCATCCTAGATGTTAATTATGTAATAGATGCACATACATTACATCTCACATTCTTACAATAGGACCCCATTTTACCACTCTACTGGTGTCCTTAAAGTTTAGATAAATGCCCCCTGGATGCTTCAGAACTCATTTACATAGTGTCATATGTGTGAGATAAAACATATACTTGCAAATTACCTTTGTCAACAGCATGTATGATTTTGGACTCCATGTGGCTTTTGAGAGAATACTAACTTGTCTGATGTTTTTGGTCTTCATCTTAAACAAAACACAGTATGTAATTGAAAAACTCCTTGGGTGATTTGGAATTGTTTGTAGAACTTTCAATATATTGAAATATGTTAATCATAATAATCTGTGGATTATTGTCATAGTCAAAATTTCATCATTAGTTTTGAATTCTCACTCACTTTACAAGTATATATCTTGTTTGGGTAATTCTACTGATGTTTTTCTCTTTTAATTGCAACTTTCTTGTTTTGTAGAACTCCACAGGAGCAACTTCGGAACATACTATCAAATACGGTCCCACATTCCTGTGAAGCTACTATGGAGGAACAGTGCTCTCACAATGAAAGTGATGCTGATAGTGATGGTCAGTTGAGCTTTAACTAGATCATTCAACAATTATTTTTAAAATGATATAAGCAAGCAATAATTAACACCTGCTTTGAGCTTTTGTCTATGTATCATTCTGATCTAGAATATGAAGCCTCATCTCCTTTTATTTACTATAGTATCTTGCTCTCAATGAAATACCTTCATGTAAAAGAGAATGGAAGAAAATTTGTGTTTTACTTGAGCTGAAGAAATTGATAGTTTCCATCTTTGTGTTAATTAATGAAAGACTATTATTTTATTGTTGACAGTAGTATTTCTAGACAGCAAATTATCAGGCCTGTTCTTTGGTAATATTATTCTCTAATTTTACTTCCTAGTTGAAGAGATTAAAGTACAATGTCCACCTCTTTTTATGCCAGTAGAAAAAGTGAATATAGAGAGACCTCCGCCATCTCTAACAATAGTTGAATTGGATGGTGTAAGTATATAACATTCATACAAATACTTAAACATAGAAAATGTAAAATGATGTCTTCTTAGCATTATAAGCAAGAGTTTATTAAAAATTATCAGAGTTTAAGAAGACTTTCATGTTACAGATTCCAGCTTATTGATAAATTTAATACTATTTGTTTTATTATAGAGCATAGATGCACATGCTAATTTAACATTGTAGCTTTTTTGGAGGCAAGAATCATGGGATGTGAACAAATGTTGTGATATGCTGGTTTATAACCTATGTGCTATTTAATAGAGCACAGTTTTTTGTGTCTCTTTTGCTCTTTATTTTCTCAGGCTTTCACAAAAAGGTCAGTTTAATTACATGGAATCTTATTTACAGCTACTTAAGTATAAATGTAGTTCCTAGAATATCATTGATATAATTTCCCTTTAAGGGAAAAGATGTTATTTATGGTTTAATAGAGTTTTAATAATAATGTCATCATCTCCTTGGAAGTTACAATGGAACTAGTAACAGCCAAGCAGAGCTCAAACCAAATGACTCAGATGTAGTCTGGTCCCTGCACTTTGACTCCCTAGTTATCTAATAGGTGAATTACCTATTTCTCCAAAACATTCTGACTTTTTGGATCTCTGTTTCAGAAAAATCAATTGAAGATAGGTCCTACATCTTGGTTCTTTTATGACCTCTTTGTTCTATTAATGCTGTATTTATTCTCTAAGTAAGTGGGAACTTTTAGTAAAACAAAACACACACACACACACACACACACCATTCATTAAAATTTTGATTCTTTGACTAAGTTGGAGTAAGAAAATTGGAAAAGTGGTAACCAATAATCTCCTGGGATTGACAGTTGTTACATACATTGCTATTATTGGCCCCAAATGTGACAACAGTAAAAAATTGAATAAAACATTTAGTATCCTCTAGGAACTATTTCCCTGGAACATGTATGATATAGCTAGAGAGTCATTTGTGGGAAGAAATATTATACGTATCACTGACAATTAACTGGCTAGTGAATTTATTGTGTATGCTAATATTATATAACATGTAATTAATAAGACTCACGAAGCAGAATTGGAAGAACCAGGGAATGCTGTGCCTTACAAAGTTCAACTAGCTAATGCAGAGAGTCAATTAAGGTAAGATTTTTCTTCTTCATTTTGGTTACTCTTTAAACACAAGTCACAAAAGGCCGGGTCATGGTAGAGTGGTAGAGTGTTTGCTTAGCATGCAGCAGGCCATAGGGTTGATCTGATCTACAGCATAGCAAAAAGTAATAACAACCAAAATAGAGCCATGAAAATATCATCCATCTCTCTAATTGGGAAATTCATGGTGCTTACATGTTTATTGTTTAATTTATGAATTTTGGGAACTCATTCCAAATAGAGGGATGCTCTCTCAGCCTGGACACCTGGGGAAGGGCATAGATCCTGCTCTGGATGAAATGACAGACTCTGGAGATTCCCCCCAAGGAGGGCCTCACCCTCACTGGGGAATGATTTGGGGATTGGGTGGGGGGCTGTGGGGGTGGGTGGAGGTATAAGGGAGGAGGGGTGGGAGAGGGGCTGGGATTGACATGTGAAGCATTCGTGTTTCTCTTTTAAATAAAAACATATATTGAGGAAAAAATAAATCCCCTATTGTAAATTGGAAAACATATTTTTTACATATTTTACATATTTATAAATTACATAAATTTTACATATTTATAAAATGATAAAGTTGCATTTTTTGTCTCACATTTGTATTACTTTATATATTCTTTTGAATGTAGTGACTATCATTTGAAGTAGTTTCCCTTCTCAGATACAGTTTATATGAACCTTCTTTTCTCTGAAGATCCTATTTGACCATACTTTCTTTTGAACTCTAAAACAGGAAATTGTATAAATGACCAGTTTCAGGAGCCCCTCTAGTATAACACTGCTCTCTGGGCACAGCCTAATGTGTGATTGGCAAAAGAAGTATAGTAGTTCACATTAGTAGCTCCATGCTATCTTGCCATTCCCATGTTAGAAAGTTGAATATTATCCACTTTTTGTGAACCCTAGAGTATCCTAGGTGTGTAATCCCAAATACTCTACGTGCCTCAACAGTGGGGTGGATCTCCTGTTATGTACCTCCTCTACTGTTGCTTCATTAAAGTCTGCTCTTCCCTTCCCAGTGCATGACAGCAGGACTGAAACCAAGTGACACCCTGGAGCTCCAGGCATCTCTTTGTCTGAAGATAGGGTCTCACATATTGAACAGCAGAGGTGCAGTCAGTAGGGAGCTTTTGAGAGGAGACAGCTTTCTGACCAGTAGCTGAGTGGCTAATATTTGCTACTGTGTTTCCTTAAGGAAATGATAGTCATTTCTTCTTGATACTTCAAAAAATCTAGTAATTTATTTATTAGTTGTCCTCTGTATCTAAGTGACTGTGTACTGTACATGTATATGTTGGCATATCCTTGCATGTGAAGATCAGAGAACTGAATTCAAATCATATGACTGGGTAACAAGTCTCCTCACACACTGAATCATCTTACTGGCCCCTATTTTTTCCTTTAATATACTTTTCTCCATATCTTCTTTGAGTCCGGTGTTAGATGTGGGGAAGAAAACTACCCATTATAGTTGACATTAGAATTACAGTGTTGGTTTGAAGGCACCAATAGAACTCTGTATCTCTTTTTCTAAGAAGACATTTTGGTTAACTATAGTCTGAGTTTTATGATTATAGAGTTTACATAAAAACCAGACATTGCTCAGTCCGTAGTGAGTGTGACAGTACAGCTCTGTGTATAGATAGTATCCGTTGTTGCCAAGTGTAATGCAGCACTACAACCTCCTTTACCTTTAAGCACTGATGGGCACAGATGTATTCACGACATACCGTGATTGTAATTCTACCAAGTTTCAATGTCCTTTAAAGATGCCCTAAATCTAACATTATCAATATATTATTAAGTAGGAAATTTCTACTAAAGTTTTGCAATTTAAATGCTGTTGATTTGTCATATATTTCTTGTGTGTAATACAATTTAGCTTGTATTGTGTAGAATTTGTCTATAGCAAAACTAAAACAAGTACTATAATCATATGCAGTTAATAAACCAGAATGTTCAGAGATTATTTCTTTCAACTCATTCTCTGTGTTTGTCCTTAAACATGAAAGTTCTACACTTCCTGATTATCAGAATAGTTTTCCATGTGAAAATGGCATCCATCAACATCTTGTTTTCAGCAAGGGAAAAACAGACCTCTTAAATCTCTGTTTGACAACTCCTTCTACATACCACATCGATGAATTAAAAGGTAATATTCTATGATTTGTTAACTATATCAATAATGAATGTTGATAATTTAACAAGAACAATGGATATAGTGGTTTAGGAACATATTGCTTATTATTATGACCATTAAAAATCAAGAAAATTGATACTTAGAAGAAAATTCATTGAGAGCATATAATTATCTTTCAAATAATACCTTTAATCAATAGATAGCAATGTTGTATTTACAAGCAAGTAACATCAATGTGGGCTCTATAAAAGTTATTATGGGGTAAATTAGCATTTTAAAGTTTGCATAGAGGAAGTTTTCATGATGAAAAGTCTGATTAGTGTCTCATTGCCTTTATATACAATTAAATAACTTGCTATAATCATGTGTGGTGTGAAGTTTATGTGAGATAAATCTTTAGCCCAATAAATCACTCAGTTTTTATTTCTGTGGTATCATTCTTTTTAGTTCTTTTGAACTTTGTAGATGTGAATGCTGTATAGAAAATTTGGGGCTTTCCTGGTTTAAGATGTAAGATCACTGTATAACGGAGACAAATTAACAGCCCTGAATTTTCATATCTGCCCCTCAGCCTGTGTCACCTGGAAACGCCATCGTCTTTTCCTGACTTTCTTTTACTAATCTACAATTTATTTACTGAATGATTTTTAATCTTCTTTCACATACTATATTTTATAAACCTAAGATTGTCAGGAACCCAGGTGTGTATTTCTGAAGAATTTGAGTGATATCCAAGGGCTTTGTTTAAAATAACTGATTTAAACCTGATGGCAACCTGATTGGCCAGCAGAATGGAAAGAACTGATGGTTTCCTACCAACCCTACCTGTTCCAACGCTTTTCAGCTGGCTTGGCCCATATGAACTACATAAATGCATTGCCACTTGGTGCTGTGGACCCACATTTGATTGTTGTGGTCCTACTATGATAGAGTCACCTTCCAGTTGTCTTTGAGAAAACTATGAACATAAGCTTCAAAGACATCTAGACATGTTTATTGCTTAGAGATGCTTTTTATTTACATCAGAGAAATTACACAGCACTACAGTATTTCCTTTGCACTCGCATATACACAGCTTTCCATCAACATTCCACACCAAAGGCTCAATGATATGAGTGCTAAATATTATTCCACTGTAGCAATGAACTTCATTTTAGTTTTCTGACTAACTATGGAAGAACAGCTTTGTTTCCTATGTTAGGCAATTATGAGTATAGTTTCCACTAGAACCCATGTATGAGTTATCTGTCTGTTGCCAAGATAAAATACCTTGGCTGAAAGATGCCTGGGAATTCAGGGGTTGTTTTAGATTACAGTTACAGAAAGCATGCAGTGCATTGTGTCAAGAAAGACATGACATTAGGATCCCCAGCTGGCAGTGATGTAGAATCATCATATTTCACCTATATACAGGGAGCAGAGATGAAAACAAAACATGAAGCCAGACTATAAAACCTGGAATTCCATCCCTAGCAATGTCCTTCCTCCAATAATGCTCCAACTTCCTCAAGTTTTGTAACGTTCCAAATAAATTGGAAACAAAGTATCCAAATGCATGAGCTTGTGGATACCAATTCACATTCAACCCAAAACCTTGCTACCAAAGCAACTGAGAGATTTTGCATTTCTACAGGAAAAGAAAATTCCTTTTGTTCTAGTATTAACTAATTCTTGATGTTGTTTCGATTTCCAGCTCCCTAGTGAATTCTGATATCTAATATTTTTGATATACTTATTTACCATCTTTATATGATTTTGCTTGTATGTGTGCTCACATGTGCACACATGAGTGTGTGTGTGTGTGTGTGCATGTGATGCTTTGTATAAACTAGGTAAGCAATCTCATTCATCCTTTGTGTTATTTTGGTAAGATTTTTGTTCACATTTTGCCCATTTGCATTGTTTGCTTTACTATTATAGACTTTTAAGAGTTCTTTCTATATTTTTGATGATACTGTTTGTCAGGTATATTTTCCCAAATGTTTTCTGTCACTGCCTGACTTCTGTTCTTGTTCGCCCAACAGTATTTATTACAGAGCATTGTGGAAAGTTTCAGCAGTAGTATTTTTCAGTCTTATAGTACGTTATTGAAATTATCTGTATACTTTTCAAGACACAACACTTCTTTTATTCTAACAAACTAGATAATTTTATATTTGGATCATTCTAAGAGATAAGCATAGCGTTGTTATTGAACTTTTATTGTTTCTAAAGCCTTCCTGACTTTCTTTTAGAAGTAGATATCTTATTTATTATGAAGTGATTTATTTCATTTCTCATAATATTAATGATTTTATTAATTGCAGGATTTTGAAGGGGAATTTCCATATACTGTGTGTAATTACCAAATTATATAAATATTTGGTAGTAACAAGCAACATTTTGGGGCTATAAGTTAGAATTTACACCAGAGAATATATCACCATAATTCCCTGTTTTATACTGCACACTCCTTCTAGGTCTATCACCAGTTTTTACAGGTGTTGACCTCCGCATTCTGGAATATTAATGAATGCTCCTTGTTTTTGCATATTATTTGATTCTGGAGTCTTCATTCAGAATTTCCTTGGACCCCTACAATATACAGGTTTTGATGGGAGGGAATAGAGAATGCTGTTCTCTGAGTTTCACTTCTCTGTCTGTGGAGGGTGTGCTATCTGCTGACAGTTTCAAAGAGTGATAAATCCAGTCTTCATCCCAGTGAAAACCAAGGTTCTAAATGAGGACACTCAGGGCAGTCATAGCAAGGTGATGACGAATACTGTCTTGCTCATTTCTTGTCTTGGTACAGCAGATGTCCCTGCCACACTCTCTGCCCCTCACTGCTGCAGTTTTAAATCTAGTTGACTTCTTTTTCCATGTACTTCCATAATTTGGAACAAATAACTTAAATACTAAGAAATGTAAATTTTGATAAAATGAGATTTACAGATTAAAATATAAACACTGGACTTTTAGTTTGTGAACAATTTATTTTTAACATATTAATATCCTTCTTAAATATGTGTTTTCAACAACAGGCTCTTCAAATACAGATTTTGGCAATAGTGTGGAGTCTGATATTTATTCTCATGGATTCAAACAGATAGGAGAAACCAGCTCTTTTGAACAAAATATAAGAGAAAAAAATATAGATCCAGGAAACAACCAAAATTCTGGTGATTACTGTGTGTCACTGTGGAGCAAGGGTTCCTTGCCAACTGCAGATTTAGATACATCTTTCCTGAAGGAGAATTCATCTCAAGACACCAGCACGTCCTTGGAATGCAGCAATCCAAATGAGAGACCACACTTGGAAGATTCAAAAACTACAAAGTCACCTCTGGTAAATTTCTAGTACGTTTATTACATCAACAGTTTATAATGATGGTCTTGAGACAATGATGTTTTGACATAGTACATACTAAAATGTTATTTTCTGCTAAATTTAAATGTGTTGTCTTATACCATGATGTCAAAACATGGCTCATATGGAAACAGACCTTAGGGGCTAATATAGGACAAATTCTTATCAGATGAATGTCATTTTCACAAGCACTTTTCTGTAAAAAAATGGTACTAAATAACTGTCATATATACGTATCAAGAATAATGGTACTTTTGAAAATAAAATTCATGCTGGGCGGTGGTGGCACATGCCTTTAATCCCAGCACTCGGGAGGCAGAGGCAGGCAGATCTCTGTGAGTTTGAGGCCGGGCTGGACCGACAGCCTCCAAAACAATACAGAGAAACCCCGTCTCATAAAACCAAAAAATAAAAAAAAGAAAATTCACTTATGAAGTATAGCGTATAATGCATTCTATAAGACATATATAAATATACACACATATACATTGTATATGTATATGCACATATATGCATCAATCTATTGCTGGAAATAATAGCATTTCAGGTGCGTAAAAAAGGACTGCTTTCTATGATATAGGTAAACAAAGTCATGATTTCAGGAAAATGGATAAAGAAGAAACATTGGAACAAACAAAGTGTTTCAGAATCTCTGTTCAAAATATTAGAAATCTACTGTAGTTGTTATTATGTAGCAAACGTCTTGCAAACTAGCTTAGGCAAACATTTTATAACCCTTAAATTTTATTTAAAGTAAATTCATACAGCCTCAATAGAAACAATAATCAAAATATGTGGAGGACTGAAACTTGAGTTCTTGCTAATTCTGTTTGGCACAGACTGGATTTTTTGCACTGTCCTATCAAATTGGTAGTGCCTTTGAAATATGAAATGAGAACAGAGACTTCTTCAGAATCAGCATTCATCACACCATAAATGGTTCAAAGAAGGCTGAAACCTTAGTTGACTACACTTTCTTTCTTTGTATCCGTTTCTCAGGATCCTTTGTCTTCTAAAAAGGATCTCATATGTAAATTTGGAAAATGAATTACTAGAAAATATATACAGATGATCTTTTACCATGGTCATGCTTACAAATTATTTATTATTCTGTCAAAAACAACACACATTTACTAGAGCCATACTACAATTGTAAAGTTTAAATTTTGTTGTCTTTGAATATTTAGTAAGATTCACAGTGGCTTCCAGTTGCTGTTGATACCTAGATAAAATATAATTTTGAGGGTTCAGGTGTATGAAGCACATTTTCAACATTAATTACTTTTAAATTTAAGGATAAGTTTATTAAGGTGTAAAGCCACTGTGTGCAAAAGAATATAAGTAATTAATGAATGAAAGAAACAGTAAAAATCAAATAATCATTTACCTGACACAAAAGTAACAAAACTCATATTTAGAAAAAAACAGTGATAATAAGAAAGAAATGTTATAACAACACTAGAAGATATTATTAATATAAAAACCTTAAAAAGACACCATTCTGGATGTACAGGCTGGAAGAAAAAGTACAAAAATGTTTATAGTGGATTTAAAGTGAGATGTAATTTTAAACCACTACTACATTGACATATTATTCAAATAATGCAAGACTTTGAAACATGGCATAGAATTTCTGTAAATATCACTTATGAAAATTTAGTGTGAATGAATTTAATAATCTAATGAGTCAGATGTCATTTTCCATGGTTTGTTTGTTTCTTCCAAAGAAAGCTCCCATGTTGGAAACTTAATCCCCAGTGCAAGAAGTATTAAAGTCAAGAGGTAGAGTATATAAGCATTGGCCAAATCCTGTGTACATTTTCTTAGGAATGTCTGGAGGATGTTATTATGGAAATAGTTTTGGTATTTGACAGGATTTGCCACAACAGTAAGTTTGGCCTTCTCTAATTCTTCTCCTTCACCTTCCTCCATGGGATGGTAGACCCAGAAGACTCTCAACAGACAGGGACCCTAGATCTTACTCTATCTGACATTCAAATTCTTTTCAAATTGCCTTGCATGTGATATTCTATTTTTAAAATACATTTTTTAAATTCTTTATTTCATTTTACATTCCAACCACAGTTGTCCCTCCATCCACTGTCCACCACCTCTCACCTCCCCCCAGCTCACTCCCAATCCACTCCTCACAGGTAAGGGCTCCCTTGAAGAGTCATCAGAGTCTGGCTTATTAGGTTGGATCAGGGCCTGGTCCCTCTATCATGCATTAAAACTGAGCATGGCATCCCACCATAAGGAATGGGATCCAACAATCTAGCTCATATACTGAGAGTGTATCATGGTCCTACTGCCACTAAGCATGGCTTCTCACCCTAAGGAATGGGCTCCAACAAGCTAACACATGTACCAGACTTGTATCGTGGTCCTACTGCCAGAGGCCTCTCTGATAGTCCAAGCTTCACAAGTGTCTCCCACAAATGGAGGGCCTATTTTGGTCCCCTGGAATCTCCACAGTTGTAGGTGGAGAGTTCATGAGTTTCCCTGAGCTAGGTTCAGCTGTCCTTGTCGATTTCATCTTGGCCTTCCTTGCTCATGTGTCCTCTCCTGCCTCTCTTTGTCTGGAATCCTGGAGCTCAGCCTGATTCTTGCTTGTACATCTCTGTGTCTGGTCCTGTCAATTACTGGATGAGGGCTCTGTGATGATAGGCAACAGAATAATAAGGCACAGTTACAGCATTTGAACTAACAGTAAATCCATCTGTTCTCTGCAGTTTTCCCCTCATGAAACAAGCAAGGGAAAAAGACATGAAAATTGTGAGTGCCAATGTTAATAAATCCTTAAATATTTATAATCTAATCAATCTCTTTTGCAAACAAAAAGAGATAAAGTTCCTTAATTACCTTCCTAAGCCCAGTATACTTTTGATGGAAAAACACTATTTTTTCAGAATATAAACTCACAAATCAGAAAATAAATACTGAACCAACTCCAGTCACTTATTTATAAAAAGCCAATCAGAGAAGAAGCCAGATATTCAATAGACATAATAAAGAGAAATTTAAAGTACTTTCATTAAGCAATTAACAAAGTATATTTTTCATTATACTAATAAAGGGCATTTTGAAAAAAAACACAAAGTTTGTGGAAACTCTCATTAAAATAATATAGTAGGTAAGATGAAATAAAACTATATTAATATAATCATAACTCAAATTATAGTGCTGAAATATAATTAAGAATTCATAGAGGAAAAATGACTTTTTGCAAACATTTAAGATCTGTATTAAATACATGAAATACATGCAGATGCATCACAAGAAGAATAAATAGCGGGCGTTGGTGGTGCACGTCTTTAATCCCAGCACTCGGGAGGCAGAGGCAGGCAGATCTCTGTGAGTTCGAGGCCAGACTGGTCTACCGAGCGAGTTCCAGGACAGCCTCCAAAACAATACAGAGAAACCCTGTCTTGAAAAAACCAAAAAAAGAAGAATAAATAATAATAAAAGCATGCATTATAGAGTATATTAATACCAAAAATATGACATTATTGTCTCAAGCTACAAGGTCTCAATAAAGTTTTTGGTGTTTCTCCCATTCTTCAATGTTTAACTAAATTGCTGGCATTAACTTGTATGACCAAGTTAGGATATATATTTATATAATATAATGTTAAATTAAACTTTAAATGTTATAAACCTTTCAATGTTATGAATTACACTTTTGGATTCCTCTTGTTGCTACTCTTTAGAATGTGTGTTCTTTCTAAAGTGGTTACATTTGTCATCACTGAGCAAAATTGCCTTATTACTAGGTTCTCACCATATTTTATAAAAATATGCTCAATACATGGATCTCTGAGAGTTCTTTTAGTGTTATCCATCTGATTGTTTCTAAAGATTTGCTACCCTGTTAATTTGATTTGGTGCCAGTATAGTCTAATCATCCATCCCTTAGCTATTTTCAAGTAGGCAGAGACTATCCATAATATTCTAGGAAATAGTCTAAGCCAATGTCATGAACAATACAGTGCTCATCTGTGGAGGACTATGTTTTTGACATCATATTCTCAAGGTGAGAGAAACAACTTTAATTCCTAGGAGTTTGTCAGTTAGGTAAACAGCATGGAATGCATTTCAGTGTAATCACTGAGAACTAAATGAGTGCAAATTATTTCACAGAAAATGTCTTCTGCTAGAGCTAGTTTCAACCTGAGAGGCCAGGAGATTGAATGATCACCTTCATTCAGGAACTGACTAGGATAGTCTGGGGTGAGTTGCATTATAAGTACAAAGGACTTGAGTAACAGAAAGGCACCACCAGGAGCCTAGACATTCAAGAATGAGAGTGTTCAGAAGAGTTGATGCTTCACAGTTGAAGAATGAATTGTTGCTTTCAGACACTGAGAAGGCTGAATTCACTCTCTTCATCCCTAATGCATATATCTGACCTGCGTATAAGCTCCCCTTTGGCAAAGTGAAACTATGCCCTTTCCTCTTGCCTCAGTTTCTTGTATGTTTTAGACTGTGTGTATTGATAACTTAGATTTCTTTTATGTTCATAAACACATCATATCTACTCATTGGAATTTTACTTCATCTTTGAAACTATTATTTATAAACAGAAGCACTAGTTCAGAGTTGTATGTAAGAGTCTCCCCATCCCAGCAGAATTTATGGGAAAATCTAAGAAAGTGATTCTTAACCTGTATGTGTCAAGAACCCCCTGGGGATTGAATGACCTTTTAACAGGGAGAGCATCTGAGAAATTTACATTCATAATAGTAGTAAAAAAAAGATAATTACATAATTATAGTTATGAGGTAGCAACAGTGATAATTTTTTAGTTGGGGTCACCACAATATGAAGAACTGTGCTAAAGGGTCACAACATCAGGAAGATGGAAAAACCGTCATAGTTAGGGAAGAAAATAAAAGAATGAGGACAGAAAGAAAAACGTAACTTTATTTTGTAAACTTTCAAACTTCTTTGATTAATGATAAGTTCCAGCTTATGTTTCTTGCATCCAATAGGATCTAAATATTGTATTATTTTGTCTGTCTATTATAGTTTAGAAGTTATTACAGCAAAACTGGCATCAAGGTCATAGAAAGCTACCCAATGAATGAATGGATGATTTTGTTTTAATATGCTAGTAAACAGTCTGTCAAATGTTTTTCTCTAGCTGTTACAAGACATAACCCTCAAAAAAAGACCTGTAAATGAACGGTATCAAGGACTAGAGAAGTTCTTTACCCTTGATAAGAATGAAAGACTCAACTCTGCTCCATCACCAAACCTAGGAGGCAGCCATTCCTGTTCCAGGATAACATTCACAGGTAAATTCTGATCAGGCATCACATGAACTTTGGGCCACCCTAGTCATATCCTAACTCAGTTTTTAAAAATGCCACCATTTAAAAGACAAGGGGAAATTCTATTCAGTTACTAAAAGTTTCTCTTTATCTGAAAGTATTAAAGATGTGTGAGCTGCCATATTTGAGAATACCAGGAAGTAATGAAACAACAATAATCATATTGGAGGAAGATCGTGCTAAGAATTTAAGAGCACTGCTCATTGTAATGTCACAAAATGTTTAAATATCTGAATCACTTTACCAGCTAAGCATTATATGATGGTAATTTAAATTTTGTCTTAAAAATAAATCACAAAAATATTAAGATCTATGGATTGTAGACATAGATCTGGGGAGTGCCGGCCTACAATCCCATTGCCAGAGAGTCTGGGAAACAGAACCTTCATTCAGTGGCTTATGGAAGCAGAGGCAGACTCCCATGGCTAAGCTCTGAGCTGAACTCAAGAAAGTAACAGAGAGGGAGGACTGATGACCAAAGGGCTTAAGACTGGGCTGGTTTAGCCCGCAGAAACAGCTGACCTGACAAGGGTTAGCTCTTGAATCCCAGACTGATGCCTGGGAATCCAGCATGGGACTGATCAAGACCCTCTGAATGTGGGTGTTAATGAGGAGGCCTAGGCAATCTATGGGGCCTTGGGTAGTAGATCAGTATTTATCCCAGGTATACAAATGGACTTTGGGCTCCCATCCAACAATGAGCGATGCACTCTCACTCTGGACTCTTGGGGGAGGGTCTAGGCCATGCCTTGGATGAAATGACAGACTATGGACACCCCCATGGAGGGCCTCACCCTCCCTGGGGAAATGAGGGGATATTGGGGGGGATTGGTAGGAGGGTGTGGGAGGAGGGGAAGGGAAGGGAGAGGGACCTGGAATTGACATGTGAAGCAACCTCGTTTTTTAATTTAAATTTAAAAATAAAAAGATTAAATTAAAAATATTAAGATCTAAATTTTTAAGAGTTTTCTGTAATTTCAGTTTCTTTCCAAAATCTTTGTATTATCCTGTATTGTGCAAGTAACTTAAATTTACTTTCTGACTGTTGTTAAGTGTACAACTCAGTGGTTATATTTACTTTCATAATGATATGTAACATCGGTGCCATTTGTCTCTAGAACACATCTTGTTAGATCAAAATGCTATTCTCATTAAACATAGCTCATTATCCCATTATCCCCTCATTAACCTCCAGCTAGTACCATTCTTCTGTGTTCTTATATTATTTTCCTTATTTCAGTTAACTCATTCATATACATGAACCAGCACATTTCATTTAGCCCAGTTTCCCAAGTTTTATCCTGTGTAAAAACATTTGGTGTTTTAAAAATAAAGTGCAAAAAATAAGACTAGAATATGTGAGTCACTTTGTGTTTATCTTCTTTTTTCATGTCCCAAACTTCTAAAACTCTAGGGGACGTAGTTGGAAAATCACTTTTAAAATACTGTGTCTATACAGGAAACCAATGCTTTTCTATTAAGGACCTTAATATGCCATTGAATAGAATTATCATCACTGAATATCCCATCCTAAAATGTGTGATTACCTTCAAAAGCTGGATCCCGGGAACTTTCTTATCATTCAGGCGTATCAACAATCTGGGAATATCCTCTTGGATTCTTGACCTTTCTGGGTCCTCCTGAAGTAGTCTACTGCTTTTATAACCTTGGGGAAGAGCCCTCTGGAATCTTGGAAATTTCAGCTTTCTCAAACATGGGGAGTTTTTTCTTTGCTTGTTTTTTTAATGTTTTTAAGCTTCCTATTTGTTGTGAGATCCCCCAATCCTTCCTCGAGGGAATATTTCAATTAAGAGGTATTTGCTATACAGTACTAGGCATCAGATAACGAGTTAACTAGTGTTCCCTGAGCTTTGGGGAAGGTTTTGAGAGGTATTTGTATTGATTATACTTTTTAACTTTCCATTTTATTTATGTGTGTGTTCATGTGTGTGTGTGTGTGTGTGTGTGTGTGTGTGTGTGTGTGTGTATACGTGCAAGCATGTGCAGGCATGTGCAGGCATCTGTGTACATGTGAAAGCCTAGGTCAACATTAGGTATTTCCTTTATTGCCCATCTTTTGATTTTGCACCAAGTCTCTCATTGAATCGGGAGCTTGCTGATTCACTAAAGTGGCTTCTGGCCCCCCAGGGATCATCCTGTTTCTACCTCTGAGTGATGGCTTTAGGGTTTTAGGTGGCACACATGGTGTTTTATACAAGTGCTAGGGATACAAACTCTGATCTCTCACCATTTAGTGCTATCAAATCTTCATAGGCCTGATACTAATGTTCCTTAAATGATTCATAAAACTCATCAGGCTCGGGAATTTTCACTGTAGATAGAATATTTTTTTCCTGATTCAGTTATTTTACCTTATATCAGATGGACTATTTGAGTTTTCTTTTATTTGTAAGACTAAGTCTTGACCTCACTAAAGGGTGAGGATCTGAGTTTGGAACCCTAGCACTTGTGGAAAATTGGAGGTGTATCACAGGCCACTAAAACCATCACTCAGAGTTAGAGACAGGAGGACCCCTGGGGTTCGGGGCCACCTAGTCTAGGGGAAACTCTTTACATGTTTAAATGCATTTATTTGGGCCTTGAAATATTCTGTAGCACATGCGAAACCCTGGGGTCTACCCCAGTGGCTCAGATACAAAATGTCTTTGTTCATAAATTATCGTATCTTAATGTACATTGTTATATAATTTTAAAGTAATTTTTTATTTTTGTAAACATTGGTGTATATCTTTGGCATTTATAATAGTTTTTTTATATAGTCAAGACATAAGATCTTAATGGACTTTATTTTAGAATTGAGAGAATTTAATAATATATCTCTTTGCTGTAAATGTTACTTAATTCAGATTAATATTGTTTGGGAACATAGTAGAAATAATGAGCAATGGATTTACATGATTTTTAGTATGTTGAGATAAAATTAAATTTAACCATTAACAATATCATATATGTATTCTGATTACTCTACCATGTACTACATAATATCATTTTTCTACTCCTACTGATCTTTAAAAAACGAGTAATGAATTTACATGATTTTTTTCTAATTTGTTGAGATAAAAATTAAATTTAACCATTAGCAATATCATATCTCTATTGTGATTACTCTTACAACATACTATATGTTATATTTTCTCTACCCTTACTGATCTTCCTTGTCTTAGATAAAACTTCATGGCTACAAGCAATTTAGGGAGGAAAATATTTCATTTCATACTTCCATATCAGACTCCATCACTGGGAGAAATCTAGAAGGAACTCAAGACATAACCTGGAGACAGGAACTGAAGTGGAAGTCATGCAGGAACACTGGCTTATTCCTCATGGCTTGATTGGCCTGCTTCCTTATATAACGCTGGACCAGCAGCACAGGTTGGGCACCACCTATCAGTGGGTTGGGCCTGCCTATATCAATCATTAATTGAGAAAATACTTGAAGATAGGACTCTAGGCCCATCTTATAAATGTATTTTCTCAATTAAGAGTACTTATTCCTAAATGAGTTTAGATTGTCAGGTTGACATAAAACTAACAATGACTTCCTTGTTCTCTACAGTTTTTTTTTCAAATTCACCTATTTTCATTTTGTTTTGTGAACAGCTGAATTTAACAGAACTAACTATATCTGTGACTGTTGGTTAGGCCCATTGTCTGAAGGATGACTCTCACTATCCTGGCATCTATCAGTAGATTTCAAGGAAGGGATAGGAATGCCTGAGCACCTCTTTCATGCATGACTCACTGTTGACCTGAGAAGTCTTGTGGAGGCCTAGTGGAGGCAACTAGCTACAGGCAACTGCAACCTCATGCAGCTCTTGTGAGTTCATGATTGTCATGGCTGCATCATATGAAGAAGAGAGTTTTACAGTCTGTGTTCCCTGAACATTAAGTTTGTGGAATGTACCTTATTTTATCCTGTATATTATGTTATCATTTTCTGTTTCAGAAGACGAAGTCGGGATCTCAGGCAGCAGCTTAAGTGAGCATGCCGGTAGTGAAGTTGCCTTGTGCAATCTGCAGAGTGCTGAAAATCCACTTCCAAATAGGCAGCAGCAAAAGACAAGTACAGCCAAGGGGAAGACAGCAGTATCATGTTGCTGGCTTCCTTTGTTGAGTTGTTTGATTCTTAACAAATTATTAGTCATCTGAAATTCCTTTTCACAGTTATAACACACTCAAAAATCTAAAGGCCTAACATCAAGCCATCAAATGAACTAGTTATTTCTCTCAAAGATAAACTATATTGTTAGCCATTTTCCTTAGCAACATATTAATGAATTATATTAAAAATATAGCTCAGAATATGGTATGTTTTGAGTATCCCTCAAAGAATACTCATACAAGTCCTTCACCTTTTGTTATGTTTTATGCTCTATTCCATGTGTTTTCCTTGAGAAATACATTTAACTGAAAATATATTCTTCTTTCACACTCCTGTCAGATCCCACCCTCAGCTCCCCAGATTCACTCCCCCTCTGTTTCCCTTCAGAAAAGAATAGGCCTCCAAGAGCCAACAACCAAATAGATAAAACAAGATGCAATAAGACAAGGTGAAAGTTCTCACCAAATCTGCCTGGACAAAGCATTCCGGCAGTAAGAAATGAGATCCAAAAGCAGGCAAAAGAGTCAACAATTCACTTGCTCCCACAGGTAGAAGTCCTATAAAATACCAAGCTAGCCACCATAACCTATGTGCAGAGGATCAGGCACAGAACATTTCATGCCCTGGGCTTGCCACGTCTTTGTGAGCCCCTGTGTGCCCTGCTTTTCGTTGATTCAGTGGCATGTGTTCTCCTGGTGTCTGCCATCTCCTCTGACTTCTGCAGTCCATCTGCCTCCTCTTTCACAGGATTCTCTCAGCTCTGAGGGCAAGAACTCCATGGAGACCTACAGATCTCATTATGATTATCTGTACCTGTTTGTAAAATTGAACTATGTTGGGG